TTATAATTTGAACTCTTCCAGTAGAAGATAATAATGCTCATGTATAGGAACACACCATGCATTTGTTTTCAATAGCAATGCTACTGTATTTCCCAGGGATTTACGATTTCTATAATTCCAAGAATTACCTTCCATAGGGACTTGGGTCAACACACAAATTTATTTGGCTTTCATATGACTGTGGCAGCGATGAGCCTTAGCTCACCTAAGCGTTACATGCCACACTCCCACAAACCTAATAATAATATTGCTCCCGTAATGTGCCAGCCTTCTCTGTTGACGACAGACCTGATTAATTATACAGCGTTAGTATGAATTCATTCATTGCTGTATTGATCTGAAAGGAAGCTACCATACACATACTATAGCTGCTAGCCAAGGCTGTGAATTTGAAGGGTTTTTGTCACCTGTCCTGCTTGCTTTACAAATTGATACTACATTTAATCTGATCATCGCAGAGGTTATTAAAGAAATGTATTTAATAAATAGTAAAACTATGCACAATGCAATCAGCTTGACTAATTTATTTTAACCTTATAGCTGCATAGGTCCAAGGAATGAAGCAAGCAAAAGTAAACTATTCTTAGTATTAATGTTATTTGTGCCTATAGATCAAATATGAATGAACAGAGAAATTAAATATTTTGTTGTGGGTGTATTATTTTAGGTTGTCATAATTCAAATGATGACATGATTCAATCTAGATGCAAATGATTGCACAGCACTAAAATAATATCACGTTTACTCCTACAAGAAATAGTACTTATATCAATTTGAGAATTTTTCTTGACAAAACAAAAATGCTGATAAAAAAAGACATTTTAAAAGGTTGCAATGCTGCAGAAAAAAAACCAATCAATTTCTTTTCTTTGTACATTGGCAATCGATGTACCATAGGTGAATGTCAATGATGCAACCTATATTGTCCAACCAATAGGCTCATTATAAAGCTCATATTCATTGTATCTGCTACATTCAGGCTAAGCCAGCAGAAATTGTCTTGTCAACAACACAAGCTAAACCTAACATACAATATTACAAACATTATAATTCGAGTTGGAACACCACCAATAAAAGAATCCTATTATCTATCCAAAATTGTAGTTGAAATTTATTTCTTAGCTATAGGTAAGACAATTCTGTTCTAAGCAAAAATTCTATGATAAGAGTATGGTAATATTTGATACTACTATATTATAGCAGAATAAAAATGTTTAATGGTAATTAATAAAAAAAAAAAAAAGCTACAAAAACAAAGTAATCAATTATAATTATGATAGGCACCTTAGAAAATGTATGTATTTTTCCCTATACTCCTATCCATACCAAAAATAACAGGCTTCAATCTACCTCAAACTTTCTAATGTGTTGAAATACTTACAAGAGCAATCAAGACTAATATGTAAAAACTGATCAAATAAAAACAAAACAAAAAACCCATCCTGAGCATTTTTTTTTTAAAGTCGGTGATTATAACCATTTTTCCTGGGCCTTAATATACTAAGTATTGAATTGCGATAAATCTGTATATATCACTTAAGACTGAACAAATATGGCAATTAGCATATCAATCAATGTGTCAGGTTGATTGCATAATTATACCATTCTTAATTACCTGATGACTAAAGAACAATATACCTTCACCATGGCTTTGTTTATTAGTACACATGGTTACAGAATCAATTCTCTCCAACTAAAATACAATATGTTGAAACCAATGTCCTAGAAACATTTCTATTATCATCTAAACAAAGCTATTTTCTGCCTCATCAAGAAGGTGAGACTGCAAATATGCCGCACATAGATAATGATTTACTTACATTCAAATTATATAAGTTTGTTTTTGAATAGCGTAAATGCTGCTACGAAAGGTTTTTATTTAACCTGCCACCATGAAATATACTGACAAAAATATAGCAAATTATTACTATACTAAACAATAATTTGTTCAAAATATGTAGATAATATTCTAAGATAATGAATAAAATACGTTCAACCTATGTACCTGTATTACAGAAACACAAATTTGAAATAAATGATGTCTTATAGCATAAACATTAATTTAATTATATTATTACTTAATAGTTTAGTATTAAACAGATTTTTATAATGATTTAATTGTATTTTGTGACTTTCCTACATTAACTATCATTAATGTTGCTATGGTAATATTTTATGCTTGAGTGATTCTATCAGTTCAAATTTACTAGACGATTATTATTAAATGAAGAGAGATATTACTGCTGTAGAGACTTTAAGTTCAGAATAATATACGATGTTAGGGGCAAAGCAGATTGGCGGTTAATTCTTGCCTTGCAGTCCTAAGATCCCCAGTTTAACAGGTTTAAAAGATTAGAATAAATAAAATTCATAATTAGTATTTAATTTAGACATAAGGAGGTATGAAAATAATATCAACCCTTGACAAACATATTTGAATAAATAAGACAAGTAAATATAAATATAATAATAAACAATTAAATAACATACAATAACAAGATATAGTATAATTAGCAATAAAAAAATATCACAATCAAAATAAAATATCTAATATTATAAATAAACAGACCAACATTAATAATCATAATTCTGATAACCAAATTAAATTGTTATTTATATTATATGATAAATAACAGGAATAAAATATAATTTAAATAATTAAAAATTTATCTTAAACAAAGCAAACAAAAATATAAATTGCAATTAATTCAGTTTTTGTTATAAAAACTATATGATTTACCTTTGCATGTGCAGCCTATAATCATGGATAAAAAAATAAAAATAAACTTTATCATTACATGTCCACTTTTGATTTAATTCAACATTTAGTGTACACCAATGACTGTATTCCAAATTGTATTTTTTTTTAATTTGTGATAATTTATATATAATACATAAATCACTAACTTATATATACTCTTATTGCAAGAATAACATTTATTGTTTTGAAATAATTTTAAAAAATTATTATTATTTATAAATTATTTATTTATTAATTACAATAGTATATTATGTTTGATGAAGGCTAATTGGTATAGTGGATTATGGATTTTTTTTCAATATGTAATAATAATTTATATAATTTCATCTATATAAAATATATAAATTATTTTTTAATATAAATCTTACTTATATAAAAGATTAATATTTATTGCTTTGAAATAATTCTATAATAGATAACAATAATTTATTATGTTTGACGAAGGCTAACAGTAACTGGTGGTATGGATTTAAACTGGGAGTTCTTAATAAGTGTTAACAATTTCCAACAGTCATGCTTAGATCTAATCTTAGGTAACAGAGTGTGAACCAGTTTGAGTATTGTTGTTAAGTAGTTATACCCTCCTTGATTTAAATCCCTAATTTATGTCAATAAATACAAGTTTATTTTTCATGTTAAAAAAAACCTAGAATTAAAAATTATGTATCTATTAATGTCAGTTAAGCAATATCAAAGATAATTCACTATGGATCATGATGAATGTTCAGCGATATCGAATAATAACTAATAAATTCCCATCCACAACTGATACTTGTAAATATAAAAAAAACACCCACTCGTATTCAACCCTTTTTTCTTTAAAAGTTGAAGAAATCTAGGGCACATTTAAGGGAAACAAAATCTGGGAAACATATTTTTGTTCATTTATAATATCAATGAGTATTAAGCTCCCCTGCCATTATTGCTCAATTAAAAATATGAATCATATTTTTTAATGCGCTCAAAGAAAAAAAAAACACTAGAAGAAAATAATTTTAGCGTTAAGTACATTGAGATGAGACAAAAGCAAGTGCTTTATTTTCTGAATGGTCAATCTACATAATGGCTATGGTTAAGTGCGTTGAAGTAATCAAGATTTAAGAAAGACTACAACATTACGTATACTACAAAGTTAAATGCACATAGCTGAACATTTTTTAAAAGTAAAAACATTGTTCAATTTGTTGATTTAGGCTACGTTTGGAAGTCAAAATGAAAGAAAATCAGACAGTACAGTTATACGGTATTGGTTCTGCACACAACCAAACATTTTTGAAAAGCAAAAACATTGTTCAGTTTGTTTATTTAGACTATGTGCAGAGATCAAAAACACAAAATATTCACAATGTTCCACAACATCAAGATTGTTTAAATATCTTTCGTTTTTTTTTTACAAAGTTGAATATCTCTCCTCTCAGAATAATGTTTGTGAGAATGTAAGCAGAAAAAAAAAATTGTTTTAGGTAAATGTTCTGCTGTATTGTTAGCCTGCAATTGTTTTTTTATAAACATCTGCTCATTTTAAATAATTACCATTCATCACAAAATGAAAAAAAGACAAAATTTAATAAAAAAATTTAATGAACAAACATGGTGATGGGATGATCATACTAATTCAAGTTTCGCTGAGTGTAATATCTACTACCCAGACAATGTAAAATCTAGCTATTTAACACTAAAAGCTTACATTATGATTATCAATAACAACAATCATCCACATATCACCTATTGGTTACTCATTATCATATAAATAATGCAATGCATATCTTTTATATAATAATGATCATAAATATACTGACATAGTACATAAAAAGTATTTGCATTTTGAAGCTTCAGTCAACACAAGCTCTCAATACCAGGGAATGTGAAAGGTCAACCATCACCAAGGTCATAGTTCAATAATTGCAAATGGGACATTCCCATATTCCAAATATCTTGCAACATATCACCAAATGTTAATCTCATTAACTGTCATTTTTTTCATTGAACTTTGACCCTAATAATGATATAGAAGTACATGCAATAAAATTATATTTCTCATTCTCAGGTACAGTAGCTATGTATGAAGAAAGGAGGAGGAGAAAGGAGAAAGGCATGCTATGATTGATATTGATTTCTTTTTCATTTTTTCATTCAGTACTGTGCTAATGCAACAAAAATGGTGCATGGCTATAATTAGGGAAATAAAATAGTTTAAAAATGAGATAAAAAAAGAAAAATCCATTAAAATATCACAAACCTGAAAATAATCCTACATTGACGAAGAAATGTAGCAAGAAAAGTGAAAAGAATTTAATGTATCATTACATTATGTTAAGAGGTAAAAAATACCACTACAGAGGTCAACAAACTTTAGAGTCAACATTCTAAGTAAGAATTAAGTGTAATGGAAAGAATTATATTGTAAATATTATCAGAAAATAAGAAAAAGGCATAATACATAATTAACTAATTTGCAATCCAATAATGGCATTTAAATTTTATGAAATTATTGGGACTCATTGTTCTAAAGACTCCCATGTTTGAATTTAAAACCAACAAGTTAATTAACAAGACAATAACGTTAAAATATCAGTGATATTAAATTGTTTATACTGTACAACATCGCTTAATACTATTTTTCTACACAATTAAAATTATTTATTAAAATAAAGTAGAATTTATTAAAATTGTTATTAATGATATATTCTCTTATTTACATACTTTTATTTCATCAGAGAGAAACTTAGAATGAGATACACTTTAAGCGAAAGCCTGGTGCACATTAACTTGGAGCTGGCACAATTCCTTGAGGCCAGATTGTACAATCCACTCAGAATGACACTTAAGCCCCTGGGGGCCCCTTCCTTCCTTCCTTCTCTCCCTGCTGGTGCTGCCTGTTTCCCTAAGACCCTGGTACTGGTAATTGAAATACAGAGCTCTGCTCTATTTACATAGCCTATTGTCTTTTAACATCAACGATGAAATATCATCTTTACTTACCAATATTTTACTAACTGTGATATTTACTCCTATGTATCACCATAGTAATTATTGATAATACCAGCATAATAATCAACCATCATAAATTGACACTTCAAAGAATAACACAATGAAACTACATAGTGTAAGCTGACACTTTAGGTGTCTATTCAATAATTAAACATAAGGATGCTTTTATTTCCTTTCCTTATCAAAATATAGTTCACTATTTCTACCAGCATTAAGTAGACTGCTTATGCCAGTTACAGTCTGTCATGAAGTCACCTTCAGAACTTGCTAATGAAATGAAGTACGAGTTAAAAAACTACTTATTTTTTCTTGGGAAAAAAAAAAAAAAAAAAAAAAAATACTAAGTCCATGTTAGTAGACCTCACACTAATTGGTGGTTTATGTTAACCATCAACAATATAATCCTACTAACGAATAGACAAAATATTAAATTATTATTTAGAAAAAAAGAATTATGCACATTATAAAAATGTAAAATCAAAACTGGCTAACTAAGGTTTGTATTGCTAACTACTGTATCATGGTACACCTATTTTTTTTTAAGTGTCTGTAAATTTAAAATCAGATAAAACGGAGCAAAAAAAGAACAATATGCAGTTTTATCATGGCTGCCACCGGCCAAGCATTATTCTCTCCAATAATGAGTGGTTCCCACTACTTCTTTAAATCCTACTAAGCATCAAGAAATAAATTTAAATTTATAATGAATCCATTCTTCTGTATATTTGCAGTTCTTGAAACGTGTTAAGGTACAGAAAACAAAACACTTGAGTAGAATAAACATACCATATCTAACATCAAACAAACCATAATATCTAGGTGTGTGGTACAGTGTAAAGTGAGGTAAGAATAGGTAAGGTAAAATGTACAGGTGAGGTATCAGCAGGATAGGTCTATGATGCCATGGATAGCTGAATCCATAATCTGATACTAAGCATTATATCCAATATCCAGTGGCCAAAAATCAAGTGTCCTCAGACAATGTTAATCACTTCAAAAAAATTGGTCATCAGACTGATAACAAAAGGTGGTAAAATAAATGTAGTCCATCAAATTAGATCTATAACACTTTATGGCTAGGGACCACTTTTAAGACAATAAGAACAGTCCAATGAAAAAACCCCAGGGAAATATTTTTGCTTACTCCCCTTCCTCTTGAGTCAAACGTTTTCCTCAGTTACAGGCACATAATTGCCCATGATGTACCAATATACCTAGCTTTATAGATCAACAATTTTGATTGGATAATGACAAGGATCTAATTAGTAAATATATCCTTCATTTCTCCCAAGAGAAATATAAAGCAGAATAGACCAAGGATATTAATAATGAACAAGAAAGAATTGCATCAAGTTTAAACCTCTAATGTCACGTCCGTATTAAGAACATCATTTCCAGTGCAAATATTCACGCGTTAGTCATATCCAAAAATATAAATTATAATTACAAGATTAATATTAAAATATATTCTATATTATGTTCCATAACCATTAAATGTTGCCTTTAAAACAGTACTGAAATTCTAAAGTGCAGCTATAAAATATATCAGACAGATGTGACTGCAGAAAACATTTCAACAACCATTTTGGCCAAAGTGAATGCCAGAATTTCAATTATTTTAATGCATTGTTAGTGTAACAAAAAAGTATTATCTGGGTATTTTTTATTGTGAAAATACTCTTTAAAATTTTGATAATACAAAACCAAAAATTTAGTAAAATTTAAAGTGTACCACACAGGAAATTTTGATGATTGTTTTAAAACCTTAATCTAATAAATGCTATTAAGTATTATCTATGGCCAATGTGTAAAAATATGCAAAGTTTGCTTGCAATGTATTCCTATGGAATCGTTCAATGCATTAAGCACAAGCTGAACTAAGCTCCGTGTTGCTGCATCATCATTAGAATAAGTCGTGCAAGACACAAATAAATTACATCTTGAATATGCATATAACGATGGCGACCGTCCTTTCACAGGCATAGTGATCGCTCATCATCTAGAGTAGCAGAACCGGAACGAACGGCAGCAGACACAACGGCTGATTAAAAAGGGCTTGCATTCTTAATCAGCTATTCTGTAGCAATCGAAATGCATCGCTTGCTGAATAAATCATGAAACGACTTCCTATACCAACAGTTGTGGGATTAATATGTTTATCCAAAATGCTTGGATTACCAAATGAATTGGCGTGACGAGTAGAGCCAGATTTCCTAATTATCTACCTATATACTTCCTATGAGTGTACTAAGGAAACATATTCATTGTTTAACATTATTTTTATTGCAGCTATAAAGTGCCAAGTTCAATTTATCACCGTGTTTAGTATCATAGTACCCAAAATAATAATCCATATTTTATTTTAAGAACATAGTAAAATAATTTTTGTACTGTTTTGTCATGATTATGTGTGTTGGGGTCAAATTTGAGTCGATCTTCGTTACAATGCTTTTTTCTTCCGTCTAAATATTTTAACTACCGTACTAAAGGTATGTATTAATCTCTCTTCCCAGGAAATGTTGCTGAATTTTCTACACATTAATAATAAGAATAACTTTAAAGTGAGCGTAGGAGGCTGTCACGTACAAGGTGAATTATTCGCACCTCGGAATACTACAGATTTGTAGATATAAATTGAATTCATTATGTGCTGAGTTATTATTAATTATTATAATTCTTACCTGTTTGCTTTTTAAATTTTGAAAGCACGGATTATAAGATGAATCAAACCAACAATGGTAAATAAATCGGGTAAGAGGATACAGCAAATACAGTCATCTACACAACGCAATTTATAGAGAATGAAGTGAAGCAAGATGATTTAAATTATAAATTTGTTTTTCTCATTAAGTATAATTGCATATGTATCTGGACATTGGCATATCTAGGGAAGATCTCCCCCCCCCATAAATTACTTGTTGCCCCCAAAAAATCAGTCAAGTAACTAAAGATCATCTAAAATCACCGTATTTTACTAATTAGTGCCCCCTCAACTGATCATCAAGCCCCCTTTCCCACTTCACCTTCGCGCCCTATAAGCACCCTATTTCAAGACTTCTAGATACGCCACTACATCTGGACTGAATGCATTAATTAGTTTCATATTTCACCTTATTCAAAAATTTTTTATAAGAATATAATGCATTCATCATCACCAGAAAATAAATAAATTTGTTTTCCCATCAATGGTAGTTTAGCTGTTAATATAATTGAGGAAACTGACGGAAAAATGTTTAATACTATATGTCTATTTTTCATTATTTTTATACTATTTCCAAGAATGCAAGTTGATACTCATACAAAATAATGTTTTTTCATATCGTATTGTACAAAAATGTAGTAAGTTATTTTTAATGGAGTTTAACTAAATTGGTGATTTGGTATCCAACAAAAGATGGCTGAGTAAGAATAAGATCTGCTTCATAAAATGTGGCTTTACATCACTGTTGTGTTTATACAGTCAGCTCAACAATTATTCTTGGATTGGCTTAATTTGCCAAGCTATTCTAAGGATATTTTCATTGTGTTTAAACAGGAGAAAAATATGCAACTCTTGAGACTGACAATGAAATCATACTTAATTACGTTAACTTGACAGTATATTGTAGTTGCAGATCACCAAAACACTAAATCAAGCATTCAATTAGGACTGATATTATAGTGTTGTAGCTCCTACCAAAATGCCACAAAGGTCATCAAGATAAACTTGATCATCAATACCAGTAACTACACCATAAAATGTGACATAGTCCTACAGCACTCTTGTAATTAACATGCAATGTTCTAACCAAAGAGACGTTGAGATTAAAAAGAAAAAACACAAAATGACATGTCCTAGTTACTGTAAGCTCCACTTAAATACTACAATAGCCTACAGTACTTCTATAGTTCTACTTTTAAAACAATATTTATTTCGTGTAACTTGCAGTCAGCATTATTGTCCTTCCTGGCATTGAGCATCATTAAAATAAGACCCAATGCCATACATTTATTGCAAGTGCAACATAATGGCACCTTTAACTATCTAACAATGTACCAAATCAATAGTGGTTTATTACCCCTGGACAGTGGCCTATCTTAGGGTACTGAAATGAAGAGGGAAGACTGATGGGGGTGCAAAGGTGAATGCCTAATGAAAAAGTGTGGGGGAAATAGCTGACAAAATAAGGTAGTATTAATGTGATTGTAAAGTACTTTAGCATATTTGGATGAGGAGGGGAGGGGAAAGAGCATTTGTTGTTCCCTTCCCACTGCCCCTGTATATGCAACCTCCTCTGCTCTCTACTAAATATTTAAAACCTTTGTAGTACATGCAAACAGACGACATTTAATTACATTCTTCTCTACTTCTTGAAAAATCAATTTAAACAAATATTGAACTTTAATACAATCGAATAAATTATTCAAATTTAAGAAGAAACAGTAGGTTTGTTGACAAGACTAAAATAGAATTATACAAACCTAGTTTGGAGATCTAAAGAAGCATTGCCTGCCAACACCCACACAAACCGATTGTGATTAGATGATGTCCCGATGTTTACAGTACATCATTGAGATCGCTTCGATTATTAAGATGAAAATGCTAACATCATCAGTTCTCGATGCCCAAGTGACATTAAACAAGTATTATGAATTATAATTTAAATGGAGCAAAGATGAATATTAAAAACCTATTTAACCAAAAATGTCTTTTTGAATATATTTCTCTAAGTGTATAATTAGGATTGCTTTTTGGAGGTGCAAATAAGAGGAAAGCAATTACTCTACTAAAGTAAGAGGTTAATCAGGAAGGAAGGAATCATTATTAAAACAGACTGGAAAAACAATCACAGTGGCAAAAATAAGACAGGAATCTTTGGCAATGAACAGGAAAGCAACCATTGCTAATTGGAGTTTGAAATAAGTGAAAGGAATCCTTAGAATTGATTGGGAAGAAATCGTTGCCCATTAAATTTAGACAGGGACCCATTAGCCAGGATCGGAAAGTAACCATAGGTTTCGAACATTGCAAATCAAAGTTGGGAATCTTTGGAATGAAACAGGGAATGACTACAGTACTTCACTGAAGGTACAAACAATAATCCTTATCATGGATGGACCACGAGAACAAAGTAGCACAATGCAGTAAAAATATACGGAATGCTTTAACATGGGCAGGGATTTGCAGCCAGTGCTTCTGGATTTGCAAATAAAAGACAAGAAACACTAACCAAAAAAAAAAACAACAAACAAACAAACACTAGCCAAACCCACTTCCCAACCCCATTTCTGCTTATTTGAGTGGAGGAGTAGAGGAGTTGAATACCTCAGTGGTTAAGATGCTTGCCTTCTGATCCCAGGGTCCTGGGTTCAATTCCTCTCACAGCAGGACTTTTTCTTACGACCAAAAACAACTCCACTCCCTAAGCATCATAAAAAGACTTGGGTTTATAAAGCATTATTCCATCCTGTAAGTGGCGAGTGTACTTGCAGTTGGATGTGAAGGAAATAAAAAAAAAAGTAGCAAATACATTTGTGGCCAATTTCAGGACATTAAGTTTGTATAATAACCTGATTACTGATATATCAATCATGCTTGAAACACAACTTAACTTTTTTTAACCATCAAAGACTGACAGATTTATGAAGCTTAAATCCAGTTGACAAGGAATTAGCATCAGAATCAAAACCACTTCATCTTTATTTCAATCAATCAATCAACCAACCAATATGTTATTGCTACAGTAAATTTTAAATAACATGGTACCAACTTTCATTGAAAAATTGAACAAACAAGAAGAGGGCAATTCCATGGTTATGTATTGGAATTAGAAAATAAAGCTAATTATTTTATCAATCAGTCAATTTGTTATTGTCAAAATGTGAGTATTGAAACAATCAGTTAATTGTAGCAGGGTTGTAGATATAGAAAACTAAGAAAGGGTAGTAGACATTTTAAGGGTGAGTGGGTGATTCATAACATTGGTAAACTCTAATTAATAAGAGTAGATTTTAAGCATGGGCAAGCAAGTTAATAACGGTGGGTGGAGGGCCATGAAATTAGCTTTAGACTGGGTGGAAAACTTCAAGGCTGGGTGGCCCCGCCCACCATAACTACATACATGTTGTAGAATTGTACAACCAATGTAGGAGGTAGTTGAGTTTTAAAAAAAAGGATAGATAACGTTAAATACCATAACTGTAGACACAACAGGAAGATTGAAGACCAATAGATACAATTTAATTTAGTTTCAGAATGATGTTCAATCAATCAAAATTCAATATTAGAATGATGAATGCTTAGCGTTAAGCATTGATGCACTGAGAATGTGATTATTTAGATTATGTGATTAGTGACTAAATCAAAATAATAGATTACATCCTATTCCTACAGTAAATAATATGCCTTTTCCTTTTTCTACACCATTTAAATTGCAAACTTCCTCAATCTTTGTCAATAGTCACTCGTTGCTATTTAGAAATGATTAATAATTGAGACAGACAACTGTCAGGGCAATAATAAATATGGTACCTTAAATAATCAAACTATGCTTCTGTATGCTTCTGTAAAAAAAAATGTGATAAACTTTAGTTTTTGGATTAGAAAGTAACAATACTTAGTAAGATCCTTCTTGTAACAATGAACTAAAACTTGGTTAAATGAACAGTATTATATACCTAGAATATCTTAGAATTGTTGAAGGTTCCGACTAAGTCCAGAAAAGGTCTAGCGATACTACCAGCCTTGGTTGGAATTAATCCTAGTTATAAAAATAGAGGTAAATGTGTATTTAAAAAGAATTTATTAAAACCTAAAGAAATCTTGGTAACTGTTTAATACTAAATATCTTTTAATGATGAAACAAAACATGCATACACAAAAGGGTCAACAAGGTATACAAATCGGTGGGGAATGGACTGGTTCATTCTTTTGTTCCCCCTTGTTGCAGGATGCGGGCTATGGAGAAGGTCTTTGCATGATTCAAACCAGTCATTTACAAATGAACATCACATATGCAATCTACATTTACCTTTAGTTGGCTTTCAACTATGGCTTCCAACTCCTCACGGAATGCCTGACTGTTTAGGATCAGAGATACACGTCGGTTGCGTTCCATATCTTTCATATCAGCTTTGATATTTGCTGGTCTCTGGCTTTCCTTTTCTAGAATCTCCGCTTCTGTTAGTTCCTCCTGTGGAGGTGGTGTTGGCTGTGTTGTATTTCCGTTCACCATCGGCTCTTGTGTATCATTAGGTACTACTTCAGCCATTGTGAATCACTAGAAGATTTTAAATATAAAAATATAATTAGCATTATCTTCTGTGTGTTTCAAATATCTAATGAAAATACAGTAACTGTATTCTGACTACAGTTTGCACTCCAGGAGGGTGCACTGTATTTAAATTAAATGTGTTAAACTGCATATCTGAGGTTTGTTGTAGTATTTCATTGAGATTACAGCCATCAGGAAAATAGAGGAATGAAGGGTATAAGGACAAAATACTGCGATCGCAGGAATCATCTCATACTGTAGTACATAGTAGAAAACGTATACCTGTATCAATAGATTGGGTTTACTAAAAAAACTAGGCCTATAGTTACACTTTCTATAGGTATTCTACAGAATGTTAAAAAAGTAGACACTATGTACTGAATGATTTTAAATTGTTTATTCATGTTTCCATTGAATTGTTTAGGGTTTTTCATATTTTATAACAAAAACTACAAAAATAAAATAACCTGACCTATATTTATTACTTCTCAGTTTGTTTGAAATTGATGAATAAAACATTTTTAGAGTTGCAACAGCGTTAAATTACTACACATTAAGCCCAGGCACTCCATTCTAAAACACGACAATGCCACACACTGTGCACAATAAGTGCATTCAACTATTTACTCAACACCCAATCGCTCTGGGAACGAGGTAGACAATTCAACTACATAACAATAGCTAGGTAAATAGAACGCTACAACAATCAACAAAATCTATTGACATAGTTTCCTGTTGGTAAGAATGAAAAATGCACCTTTGGTTTAATGACTCATGCGCATTGGTCTAGCGAGTATGTGAGTTTGCCGCCATGTGATTCTGAACTTTTTCAATCATCAAACGACCATCATACGTACCTGTAGGATTACCGCACTTATATTTTAGATTAATGTATAGACCTAGAGAGTCCAATAATTAGGTGGTAGGCATATACTTGAACAATACCATGACAAGTATTAACTTTGGATTGTTATGCATAATTTGGTCAGTTAATTTTTTGGCTTGGATAAATTAACCACGGATCTATTCAAGCTTCCATGACGTTAACTAATACTTTTAAGATCAATGTTTTCCAGGCTGTTGACACTGGATTTATTTTGATTATGCCAACAGAGTTTGACCATGGTCCGACCACAGAAATAAATCCAATGAGAAGACAGCTTAATATCTGTTAAGTGGCTAGTCTTTGTTCTGGATTATTACGTCAACAATAGTGATCAGAGATTTTTGATATATCAGGAATGACTATCACTTGTACTACTCACTATTTGTTTCCCATGATAACAGAAATTTATGTAAAATGACATTGATATGCATAAAATATCCTACATTTAAAGGAACTTCAACTTTAGGATTGTGGCTGAACCGTACGGTAAATCATCTCTGTGAAGCCTGGGTAATACCTCACACTACATTCATGAGATAAAAGTAGTCAGCTCAAATGGCCGAGCAGTTAAGGCAGGGGCTCTGCAACCTACAGCCATAGTATCGGTGCTGGTTCAAACAGCACGCTTGCCTATGGTTCTGGAGGTGGAACAAGTCTTCTGATGAGGACTATAAACTGTAATCCAAGAGTACAAAATTGGCTCATGTGCACTATAAAGAACCCTGTACATCTTTTGAGACTTGCAGGAAGGCTACCACGGTGTACTAGTCCATATATATAGTCCCTATTGTGGACAGAAAAGAGTACTGTAGCTGGTTTACTGGCTAGCTCAGTTATGAAGAGACCCTTAGTAAAGTAGTAAAGGTCGAAACCTGAAGCTCTGGGCTCACATGCCAGGGTGCCCCTCTCTCTTTTCTTGGCGTTTGTGCCAGAACTGAGCTAGGCTGTGGGAGTTCGCCACTCCTCCAGCACTGCAGTCTGTTTTAACTTCCCAGCATATGCCGGTACCCATTTATATACCTGGGTGGAGAGACCCTTAGATGATAAGAAGTTACTGTATGAGCTATAGTCCGCGCTTTGAGTGCTCTATCTTCATGAAATAGCGCTATAAATGATGTTTGCAACCACTCTACCAAATGCTATTCAATCATAGCTGTTGCACGCACATCGGCACAACCATCGGCTGGCTGGCATCTTAGTGAGGTCTTGACGTGATGGCGTCTACTGATTTTCAGTGGCAATCAGAGTCAACAATCTGTTATGCGATGGCACGCCTCGCTATGTTGCTTTTTCAATGGAATAGCGTCAGCCGACAACTATCAATTCAGTGTGTGCCTGGATATAATCTTCACATCCAAGAATTTGTCGCTCACATCACGGACTAACACAATCAAAGTAGATTGTGTTAGTTCGTGAAATCACAGTAGTGCGTCAAAACGAGCACGTATTGGTTGTCAAGCAAGTTTGTATTCTTTACCACACAAAAAGTCCTTAACAACAACAGCGTGTATTTTGACGTGCTTTCTTAATTTCACTAACACAATCTACTTTGATTGTGTTAGTTCACGATGTGAGTTGCAGTTAATGTGTTACATACATGGAACTAGTAAAAATAAATTTATTATAAAACATAGTGATGTTGTATTAAAAATCTAAGGACATTATAGGAAGGATAATTTCTGTTTAAATTACAGTATTCAGGTAAACTATTAAACACACAGAAGTAACATCCCATTGGGGACATATCATATACATGTAGCAGTTGTCATTACCGGTTACTGTATCATCAAATGGCTTATTTCAAGTTGAATGAGTAGCTGGAGATTTTCAGCATTCATAAATATTGAAGAAAGTAAACACACTCAGTTGCATTCACTCAAAGCAATAAATAAGTCTACTTTAAGTTTATGTTTTTGTTTCTCTGAATACATTACATTAAAAACCTCATTAGCTGTCATCATACACTTACAGTGGTAATAAATACAGATGACAGGAAATTTTCAAATACAGTACTGAATTACCTTGTAAGGAATAGGAATATATAGTAATTACAGTAATGATGAAGAGAACTAAAAAGAAAACATAACATTCTGTATGCTTGTCCTCACAGGGATGGATTTAAATAGCCCTCCAACTCCCCCATAAAAAAAAAAAAAAATTAAATTTATTTCTGAGAGTGCCATCCAGAAGCACTGGTAAATCTGCAATGTACTTAATGAATTCTTTGGTAGCACCATTCAATTATGTAGTGTAGTGTTTTTATCTTTTTTTTTCTTTATGAGTACATTGCTTTCTAAATTTTAAGTTCGACAAGCAATTTACAAAAAAATAGCATGTAAACTCAACAAACAGTCTAAGCTATTATTAAAGCAAGTCAGCAATGGCTGTAACATCGAAAATGTCATCAACACATTATGCCAAGTGTAACAAACTAACAGAATGAATCGGTCCAGACACCTATTTCTGTTGTATCCCACGCTGCTTCTGAACCGCTGTTGATGCTGTTGACTGATGAAAACATGTCACTGTCAATCATATCATCTACTGACCTTACTCTATGAAAGCCTTTCAGAAGATCCTCAATAAATTGCAATTGCTGCCAGATCAAGCTATTACAAATTACTATTAATGTCCTCAGTCGCCTAGCAAATTTATAATGCCAAGTTTGTTACACACTCTACAACAATACACCTGACGCAATTTATAGTAAGTCTAGGATCAAATTATCTAAGTATTTATTAATTGTTAAATGTAATAGCTGTAAGTACACCAGTGACAATAAATGTCTTTTTAAATAAAAATAATCAAAAGAATAAATAAAGAATTTTTAATATAAAAAAAACTCAATCTAAATATAATTCAAGACAGATAATATGCCCTATTGTAATTTGTACAGTATGAGTGTTTTGAATTCATGCAAGAAATCCTGCACACACATGCAAACACCCACAAACATCAACACTTACATATTCCCCACCCCCTCTGCAAAAACACATACTAATGTCATATATTATTGCATATAATACTGAATTGTTACAACTCTCACCATTGCAGTACCTGTAATATGGGCCTCAAAATCCCTCAGGCTAGATTGGATTCAGGTCAACAGTTGACATTACTGTAAACTTAAATGTGCAAAATATATAGCTTGAAATAGTTTATAGAATCACTGCATGCATGAGTGCAATGAAGGCATTTATTGTTGAAAATCACAGATCTGTTGGTTATGTGATCTGATTAAAAATTACCAGTACAGTATATCGTGTTTGGTGCTACTGTTCACAAACCACTAGTCAGTGATGATAAGAAGGTGTTAAGAAATTATGTGATCTGATTAAAAATTACTGGCGGTATTATATATCATGTTTGGTATATGCAAGTCAAAGCACTGCAGCCTTGTAGTACAAGGGAAATCAATACATTCACTGTTAGAACCTTGAATATCATGAACACAACATTTGCAAGTGCAGCACTACTGAATGATCCTATGACCTCTGTCCACTAGCCAGCTTCTACAAATAAATCAATTCTTACTATTATTAAAGCTCAACAGTACAGTAGAACTAAGCAGGCATCCACGCATAGCATAATATGTACGTTAAGCACATCACATTAACAATCATCAAGCAGCTTATACTGTCATGATAAGGTTACGGTTTACCTGGATAACATTATGGGATGTTTTTTCTAATGAATGGTATTTATGTTGTGATATGGAATATTAACAGTCCTTGTACTACGTTATGGTTGTGCTGGTTAGCAGGTATACCAAATATGAAACCATTATAGTATCTGTCAATTACAGTAGCAACCATAATTGTACCAATGATATGAATTACAATAAAAGCATAAAGTAATGAATACAGATATCATCATAGCAAATGACATTTAGGCCTGTTTATTTTAGATAATATAAAGGATTTTACCAATTAGTATGTTTGGAATGAATACTCAAGCCTAAGTAATGCTTAAAAACACGCTTTTGACTACCACATAATATCATTTTCAAGTTCAAATTATGAGGTACGCATGAAATAAAGTGCTTATCCATATAACAAAAAATATATCCTCTTCATATTATTATTAGAAAAATGTATCACTTACAACTTTTTGGCAAAAC